GTGTATTTTCTGCTAGGAATAATAATAACTCCTGTTATGGCGACTCATTTTACGTGATTCTGATGAATCATCATTATTAATATTTTGTTCATATATCTTATTGCTTTTTACTTTTTACACGTTTCAGCATACTTTTGAACATGATGAAATTTATATTAGATTCACAATATTCAATTTACTTTTTTCTAGAGTTTTAAAGGAAGGAAGTATGGTGATAGACTTCACTTTGCCTAAAGGTTGACGTCTTTCTAACTTCTTTTTAAACATTTTTAGATGGTTTTGTATTTTTTTAAATCCTGTGCATCTCTTTATCCTTATTAATTCTCAAGAGGTTAGTAATGGGTATAGTCATTTTATATATTACTTTTTTAAATGTATCATCTTTGTTTCTTATTTAAGTCTGTGTTTATATTGCTTAACAACATATATTTTTCACATGGAATCCTTGGTTTGATCTAATAGCAGATTGTAGTGCACAAATAAAGTTCTTGTGAATAAAATATGTGTCTAATTTAGAGGAAATTATATAGATAAATGAATAAAATATCATGAGTTTATCCTATTAAACCCCAACTGCATAAACTATTGAATGGTTTTCAATGTGCTTTGGTACCTTTTTTATTCTATTTCAATCAAGAATAATTATCCCTATAGAAAATATTACATTTTAGTTCTTACTACGATGTTATGAAGTGGAAAGGGAAGTTGTGAAGAATAATTACATATTCCAAGAGAGAAATGAGTGTAGACAGCACATATCATGTGCTCTTGATCGTTGATGCTTTAGGATTGCTAGGCGTGACCAGCTGAATTCATAAGTGAGTTTACCAGGCGAGGAGCTGCTAGCGAAGGCAGTGCAAGTAGTAAGATTATTCAGGGGAAGGAATCTATAAGGTAAGGGAACAATGTCTTCTTTTCCCTTACATTTTCTATAATTTACATATGGTATTTTGTTTGTTGAGTTATTCACATTAAGGAATAAACCAGTATGAAATTGGTGAAAATACCTTGAAGTTCACATTTTTCATTCATCAAATTTTTATTTATCATTTTAGATCCTTTCTTATGAACATTACACTTGAGTGGTTCAGTAGTTGAAAACCTGATATAAATAAAGATTGAAGGTCATCACTATGCAAGTTGAGTTACTTTCTGAATCATCTGTATATATAAATATATACAGATGGATGAGTCTCCTCACAAATTTATTATTTTTCCTATCTGTACTTTTCGTACTTAATGATACTTTGATTTTCAATTTTTTTTTTATTCACTGTTTGTTCTTATTTCTTTATTTTTTCGGAATTCAGGCAGTCAACATACCAAAGAACAAATTTATACTTCTCAATTAGATTTTATCATATTTTTTTTTTCATAAGCTAATCTAAATTTTCCTTTTTTTATTTTAGAAGAATACGAAGCATCAAATTCTTGATTAGAATTCTTAACACATAGCAATCTTAATTATTTTTAATCTGGAAAATTGAAGGGTGGGAAACAGGTAATCCTTGACAGTTAGCTTTGTTGTTTTTATTTCCTTTGTTTTTTTTCCTGTTGCCACAAATATTGTCATTTGGAAGGAAAATTTAAGCTTTAGAAATTTCAAAAGCTTATTTATTAATTCTATGCTTACCGAAGAGGAGAAGCGGCTTTACTATGCGGTCCAAAAGGCTCAGCTCAACCGTAATACTGCTACCAAAATCCTCGAGTGGTATCCTATCAACGGGAAGCAACTTATCGCAGGATCTTTTATCCGTGTTTTGATTAAATTGCCCTTAGATTATCAACCAGAGAACTATGCCATTGCCTGTGTGAAGGGTACAATCGAGGGCCAGCGGTATAGTGGATTTTCTACCGACTCGAGGCAAGAAACCAATATTTATATACTGGCAGCCCTACCCCGTACCTTAGCAGAAGTCAATGGAACTCAATTTCAACTTAACACTGTTAGCAACAGTCGAATGAACCCTGATGAGTTTTCAGTGTGGCTTCAGCTCTCGCGTGATGAAGGCGCGACGTTACCATCTATTACTGATTTGAATGTTACTGCTGAACGCTTACGTGCGTGTGAAATTGCCCACCGGTCTCGCGTTGGTCTTCGACCAATGCAGATCCATGGCAATACTCATATGAATATCAACCCGAACCATCACTCGATCTTTCTGCAGCAAAATAATAACCATCGCAACGAGCTGACTTCAGAACATTTGCAGTCCATACTTAGTAATGCACAACGTCAAAGCATGATACTCCACCAGCAGCAATACGGCCGGTCCTATCTGGCGTCTAACGCAGGGACATCTCTGTCCTTACCGACCACCAGTCAGTCCGTTAACCTGATGACTGATCTCTGCTCGCTGAACAGCATCGCGATGGGCGGTCACGACGTCGGCGCCCCAAGAAGCCCTGCGCACCGCGGCAGCGTGGTGGCCAGCGGCCACGAATCTTCCCCACGTGCCCATGCGGACGGCGGCATCTGCCATAATGGGCTCTCCGGCCAGGCGGATGCTTCCCATATTGCGGACCTCACCTCGTTGGTTCCATCTAGTCACCTTGCGGCTTCAATCCATGCCATACCCCCTGTTGTCTGCGGGGGCCAATCGTACTCGCCGCTACAGCTTACTACCTTGCAGACCAATACTACATCTCAGGAGGAGAACGAGGACACCGCACTCGAGCGCGCCCTAAGACAGGGTATTATGAATAACCTCCAGCAAACCTGTTCACTCTTTCCAAAGGTTACAAGTCGCTACAAACTCTCCCAGCTGCGGCTAGTCGAGCGCGACATGATCGAGTACCTTCAACAAGTACGGGAGGAGATTTCAAGCAAGCAGGAAAATTGTGTAGTATGCATGGACCACGTGCCAACGGTAATTTTATTACCATGCCGCCATAAAGTGATGTGTCGCCTGTGTGCACCAAGCTGCGGGAACTGCCCGGTGTGCCGATCTATCATCAAGGAAATGTTTGAGACAACTGAGATATAACGAAACGAAAAGGGTGACTCTTTCTTTTTGCTTGTATGCTTAAAGATGTAGTCGAGAAAGGAGAAGGGGCTGTGAAAGAAAAGTGTCAAATATTAGATTTTCTCACTTTAAACATTAAATGAAATGGGGGTATTCATATTTATTATTGTAACTTTGAAGAAGAAGAAATAGGGTTCCAGAGGTATATTAAAATGATTTTAACTCTGATGCTACCGAAGTAGAGGGATTATTATCATTTTCACTGATTGATGAATGTTGCTCAGCATTGTATGAATTCAGTGATAACAGAGATCGTGTGTTGGTCTAGTGCTTTTTGTTTTCTTCATAGGAAAAACCTTCGGCCCCAAGTAAGAATTTCCAGGGTGCAATTGACCGCTTTCAGTTTTTTTTTCCCTTATGCTGCTAGTTATATGATTCTTTTTGCTGTATAAGAATAATTTACAATCTTGTATATGTCGCAATGTCTGTACATAAAAAACTCCCCACAAAGGGGAGAGGAAAGAGGGAGGGGTGATGGAGATATGCATATGTTCATTATATTTCCTTGCCACAGTGGATGTACAATATACGCTGTTTGCTATATTTTTAAATGCTTCAGTACTATGGAATATGATGTTTTAGAGTAGTAATTGCGTACATTGTTTAGAATTGAGACTCTATTTGAGAAACAAGTTTTTCATGTCTTTTACTGATTCTATTTTATATTCCTTTGATTCCTTTGTATTATGAAAAAAAAATAGTAGTGATTTGCGTAAGTCTTAATTGTGAACATTTTCTGTTTATTGTTCAATACTGTTTTGTTCGTATTGCTTTATCACCTTAGGTTTTTTTCTGAAGAACTAGGTGAAGAATAATCCAATATTTTTGTTATTGTTATTGTCTTTTAGTTCTCACTAATGAATTGAATTAAAGAAAAACACATGGTGTTTTCCACTTAGCAGCAATGAATACAATACTCCATTTTTGTCTATCTCTTGTGCTTATCACTTTTGGTGTGTAAAAAAATGAAATTTTAGCACTTCGTATTAGTTGGATCAGATCATCGCTTTGCGAAGTAGTTAAACATCGAAACTTAGGAAACATCAGAATAATGATTTCTCCTGTCCTTGACGCGTCCTCTTCGACAGTTCCGAAGCTACCAGCCAGCATGGACGTTGGATACTATGCGATCAGTCTTCTCCGTCGACGGAAGCTAAATGAATGCGTCGCTTTTGCGTCTAACCAGCGTATAACTGATAGTGATTGGGATTCTGCCGCGTCTGGGGACAAAAAGCACTTGAATGAGTTGCTTTGGTATGCCCAAACCAAAGCTATGGTTCTTCAGCATTGGTTCGATGACGCGAGCATAGAAGACGATGGTGTGAATGATGTGCTGTTGGAGGGTGAGCAAACGGTCGTGAGCAGCGCGCAACTACATGAAGGCTCTATGGAGCCTACTCGACAGCAAACCTCGCGGAAGATCAAGATGGGGGTTTGCGGAACCTCCAGAGAAGGGGGCCTTGGGACTACTGGAGGGGGGCATCAGGTTGGCAGCCGCCACGGCTTTGCACGTACGGGGAGCCTAAACAACCGGCCGGGGACGTTACAAGGGGGATGTGGGGGCACCGCCGCACGCCCAACCACCGGCCGCTTCACGCGAGTCAGCACAGCCTCCCTTCAGCTATCCCCCGGAAGTGCGCATATCCAAACACAGTTTCTCAATTTTGAGGACTTCGCACACCGGAAGCCGATGTTGGCAAAAGTGCTATGTGATTATTTGTTGTATGTTGAACACCAACCAAAGTTTGCACTGGGGCTATGCACGGCAATGTTGAGGCCATCACCTCCACCAGCTGCAAGTGTGAAGGGACCTTCTGGTCTTCCATTGGGTATGTCTTCTGTAAGTGGTGATTCTTCCATACTGACAAAAGAAAGGGTTATTCCAAGAGCAAATGATTGGTGGTGGAAGGCGCGCCTGGGTAAAGCAAATTACCAGCTCGGGTTACTCCGTGAAGCGGAGAAGTGCTTTAAGGACTCTCTCTGCGAGCCTTCTTCAGGAAGTGCTTTCACAGGCGGAACAGGGAGCTCTACTTTGTATGGAAAAAATTCAATAACTCATTTTGAAAATTATAATACAAGTACAATAATGGAACTGGGGAAAGTGTATAAAAAGATGAACCAGCCCCTTTCCTCATTAGAGCTGTTCACAAACGCACTTATGGAAAACTGTATTGACTATGAGATCCTACTTTGTTGTGCGAGGTTACGCAACGAACTACATCATGAAGATGAGGCTTATAACCTCTTTCAGCAAGTATTGGGGATTGACAGCAGCAATGTCGAGGCCATCGCTCAAATTGCGGCCTACATATTTTACGAGAAAAAACATCCAGATATGTCCCTCAACTTATATAACCGGTTACTGCAGATGGGTGTGAATACAGTTGAAGTTTGGAACAACATTGGAGTTTCTAGCCTTTGCGCTACACAGCTTGACCACGCTTTCAAGTGCTTTGAGCGGGCCATGCAGTGCTGCCCAAACGATGCACAGCGCGCGGATGTCTGGTACAATATTGGTCATGTATACATTGGAATTGGTGATCTTAGGTTCGCAGAGCGCGCCTTCAGGCTCGCTGTGGCGACGGACAGCAGTCACGCGGAGGCTCTCAATAACCTAGCGGTTCTTGCCTATGAGGGAGAGTGGAGAAAGAACAAAGCAGGATTTGCAACCAACCAGCAAGGCAATCACTTATTCGAGTCGGCATTGAGAGCAGCACCAAGACTTGTTGAGGCCTTATATAATTCAGCACTAATTGCCTACAATATGGGTGAAATGGAGCGGGCCTACATGATGGTTACAGGCGCACTCGAAGAATTTCCTGATCACTCTGAGAGTGTTGCACTACATTCGAAGTTGCACAATTTATTTGTCACTTTGTGAGCAATGAAGCAAAAAAATAGAGGTTAGACTTTATGTGGCTAATTTTCTTTATTGTTTTGAATAATAATGCATCTTAAACCTACGAGCTCATCACCAATCATAATGTTACAGGTAAATTGATCGAGAAGGTGCGCTCAGTGAAAACATTGTGATGAAAATTATGTGACTTATTTTGCTTATATCTGATCGGCTCTTTTATTTGAAAGTACTAATTCACAAGAAAATAAACTTTTACACTTATGTATGTGTGAGTGTATCTATTTGAAAAGGGATCACTGGCTTACATTTTATTAATTTTATTTTTATTATTATCTTGAATAGAAATATTAGGAAGCATATCAAATCAAAAGAAAAACAAAACAATATCAATAGAAGAAGATCTACGTTTAGACGTGTCTAGACACAGAATCAAAAATACAAAAACTGGGCAAAATACAACGCGTCCAGGTTTACAAGATTTCTTTGCATCTTCCCACAGGTTAACTGTACGATTAAGACTTCATGTACTCTGGTATACAACGTGAGGGCAAAGTTGAAAAGGTACCACTACACCAAAAGCCCTTTTACTTCCACGAAAAGCCTAATTCGTCTCGTAGGTACCATGTCTCTGACAATAAATCTAGCGCACCACAAGACAATATAGATACCCATTCTGTCTCTACTTTTTCGATCAGTCACGTAGACACACAAACACTTAGAGAGGAAAGGATGCTGAGAAGCAGCAGTCGTAGCAGCGCTAGCGCATCTCTATTAAAGAGGCCTGGCAACAACAATCGACAGAGCAGCCATAGCACAACCCGAGAGTCTGTAGTAACTTCTGCAATAAGGGGAAAGAGAAACTCGAAACAGTCCACCAAGGCTCCATCAAGTGTTTTATCATCTGTCGCTACCGCTACTACTACCAACACGGTGTTTGACATAGGGTCTGTGGATAGTAAAAGGGACCGTGGAGTTTCAGATTTAAAGAATAGCCATAGGCCACTTGGAGCAACACAGCATAGTAACCCGATGATGGTGAAGGATGACATGCAACGTACGGTGCTGTTGCGTAACGACACTATAGGTGAAGTTTTCCGAGAGGCCTACAATGAGAAACTACGCCGTGGTATTGAAAGTGTATTCATCACCCTCCGTGACGAATTACCGAAGGATCACATTTATCTACAACTCATCTCAGACCCCACAACGGAGCAGTATTGTCGAGTTCGACTACTCGAGATACTAGAAGCTTTTCTATACTCTACTCAAGCACAACACTACCATGAACTCGTTGAGGAACTCTCAAGAAGAGAGTTGGATAATTATACCATGCTTCAACATCTAGAGGAAGTCGAGACGAAACTCGAACGATGCAATTCAGCGTTGGTAGCGGAATCACAGTCTAAACAATTTATACACTGTAGTAAAGAGATACAAGTAGATGCTACTCGAGCTGATTTAAGCGTGAAAACCCTGAACAATTATAATCCCATGAGTGAGGAGACAGCACGGAGGGAATTATTGAAAATTTTAGAAGCAACTACACGAGAAG